GAGAGTTTCCCTTTCAGTCTATGCTTTAATTCATCAAACTGTTTTTAGGCAAATTATAAAAAAATAACGTGCATCAAAATCCTATTGTTACCCTCCACTTTCCGTTTTTTTTTTTTTTTCTAACTTCCTATTGATAACGCTTTTTTGTTTTGTTATTTTTACCAATTTTTCAACGCTGACATTATTTTATTCGTGATTACATACGGTCTTTGTATTTACTGAGAAAGTGCAGGCCACCTGCGTGGTGATTGCAATGGCGTAGCATACAGATCAGAATAAACCCCATCATTACGATTCGTGCAAGATTCGGGAACAGCGTTAAATTTATTTCACCCTCAACCCTAAAACACAATGTTATAATGAATAAATGTTAAGGTTTTACATGACATACTTTTTGTACTGACTCGGCCCATATAGATCATGCTGAAGTTGTGAGCAAGTCAACCTTATATTTTATTTATCTTACTGTAAATACTTTTTTATTTTATTTTCCTATGTATTTATAGAAAAGGTTTCTATAGTCCATCATAAAAAAGCCTATAAAAGTCATCACATATCTCGCAGTCGCCCTTCCAGAATATCCCACTCACCGCCCTAAACTGTATGCGCGTACGCAACATCGTGTTATAAAAACATTAAAATTGTGTATGAGAGATCGCGGTAGCAGAGTGGGCTGGGCACACCGGACTGGGGCACGTGGAGCGAAATCTCGCACTGTAGAACCAAGGGATCCTGGGTTTTATTTGCACCCCTGTCTGTCTCGAACTGTATGAGCATTGTACCGACGTGAGGTATTGTATCAGTTGCGCTAAAAACTGCTTCACGATCATCTGGTGGGCTCGTTGGTTGATCATAAAACCACAGGCTAGCGGTTCCGGTACAATGACTGAATTTCTCATCTACAGGTGACAGATAAGTCGCCCGTTGAGGCAGGCTAACTTCAGGCTCTATAAATATACACCCAGCACAATTTATAAAATCGTGAAAATATTTGTTGCGTGAATATTTGTTTATTCATCGTCCAGT